TATCGCGATAAACCGGAAAAATATGCACGTGTTTGAGAAGATGTATGGAGCGTAAGGGAATAGGAACGTGCACCAACGCGCGGCCGAGATACGGTGAGAGAGAGAGAGAGAGTAATTCCGTGGGGCGTGCGCGCGCGCGTTAATATCTCGCGAGACTTAAATCCGAAAACGCGTAACGCGTGAGTCTCGCCACGCCTCGACACGGTTCTCGGCTTTTTACGGAGTCGCCGCTAATTGTTGTTGAACACTGAAAAATAACTCTCTGCCTTGTTTCAAGGTAAAAGAATATTCCCCTAAAGTATAATCCCTTTTATCACGCTGCCTCTACCGCGGAATTACACGGTATCTCGTTGATTCTCGTTTATTCTGACTCACGAATGCCGTAAAAATGAACGATTTCGTTCTTGCTTACAATGTCGTTTCCGAAAAAGGGAAGCTATGAGTTCATACTTTTGTTTTTATAGTAAAAATTACTATAAGATTTTATAATCAAAGTTACTGCAGAATTTTAACCGACGAAGAAACTGACATTTCGCAGTAATTCGCTGTCCTTTCATTTTATGTGAGCTGCTTTTAGCAATCTGAAATGTGCTGTTAAAACATTTGCTATATGAAATTTATCATGTCTAGTGAAATTTACCATGTTACTGCAAATTCAAATGTGTTATTTTTTGCTCAATCTCTTTTTTCACGTTTCTTATCGTTTTAAGCCACGTAATTTAACATGCTTAAACGTATTAAATTATACGTGCAACTTATGTGATGTTAAATGACTTAAAACGGTAAGAAACGTGTGAAAAGAATTTCAATAAAATTATACGCTTATGCGTTTAATAATAACACAGTTGAATTTAGAGTATCCCTTAACAAAATAAATCTTACTGATAGTCTCCTATTTTCCTGGATTACTAAAAGTATAGTAAAACCGAGAAGAATTTATATAAAAAATTTTAATATTCTGTGTATGTGTGTGTGTGTGTACATGTCTATCAAAACTGGATATATGAAGTTAACACCCCGATTTTGGAATTCGATAATTCTAATTAGAGTCTTAGCTTTTCTTTTTGAAAAATATAAAAGTATTTTTATGTTCATTAAGAGAGTTTTGGCGATTAACACTACTAAAATAGCGATTAAAAAATGGAGTGCTATACTGAGAGAAAGAATAATTGATCTAACTAAAATTATAGTTATTTCTAGCCATATTTTTATTTTCTTTAACATGAAAATGGTAGTAGTAACATGCATATAAGGTTATTATCACTAACATTATAATAGAATTTAATAAAAAAGAATAATTTTTTTACTATAATTTATAGTAATTATTTCTCTACGTGATTATAGTTACAAACACCAAACATTTTCTTTTCAGTATAATTTCAGTCCCAAGTTTCGACCGAATAGTTCTGAACAGCTCATTTGACGTCTTTTTGATGAGTACTAGAGCTTCTTTATGAATTTCTTTAAAAAATAAAAAAATTGCAAAAATCTCTAACATCAAGTTCAAATAGTTCTGACTGGCTCATCTGACTCCTTTACGTTACTTTTGCTGGAACTCTTTTAACAAACGTTAAGATACTTCTATCTTCTAAAGCTGCAACTCTAATCAGAATTGTCGAATTGTAAAGTTGAGACGCTAACTTTACACTGCCATCAGAATTAGAGAAATTTGCATCGCGTGCTCGTGTAAACTGGGTCGAAATTAAAAACTTGTCTCTATGACGCAATCTTGCGCGCTTCTCGATACGAATATTACGATCGTTATTCAGCTGCGCCCAGCGAGCGAGCGAGTGAGCCAGAGAGAGAGAGAGAGAGAGAGAGAGAGAGAGAAACGAAAATGCGATCGCATCGTCATTCGTCTTTCGGTTCTCTGCGGCCATGGTAATGTCCGTTCTGGCGTTTGCGCCGGGCTGGCAGTTGTAAATCACAGAGTGAGACAAGAAAATATGGATCAATAGACCGCGTGTGCGACATTGTGCGTGCACCGAGTCTGCGGCACGCCCGATACACGCTACGTTATAATTTCCGCGCTGTATCGTCGTACGATGACGTTTGTATGTTGTGTGTGTGAGATATCTCACATATAAAGATATTGTGAGAAACATCGCACCTTTCTTCTTGCACGTATTCGTCGCGTGAGTTCGCTGGGGACATTATTAATTTACACCTCGCGCAAAGCTATTAAATCATTAAAACGTCGGAAGAGAGATGTCCCAGACGAAAGCAGCGTGGAAAACTGAGTATTTTCGGGGAACAGCTCGTACAATGCACTCAGGATTCTGAAGCACGCGAAAATGTGCGTGTGTGAAGGAGAGGAGAGAGGAAATACTTGTGCTCCATGTAAATACTACGCAGAGAGAACTTGCGGTGCTCTCTCTCTCTCTCTCTTTCTTTCTTTTGCGCCGTTTTTGAAACAATAAATGATTTCCGTACGCGCCTTTCCTATACCGACGATCGCACCGAATATTTATGCATGTAAATATTTTCATCACACGGGAAAAATCGAATTGACTGTCATTAATGAGCGCGCGTATTGCAGCTGAAAGTAGAGCGTGTTAATTTTCGCAATAATCGTGCGCTCGATACTGTGCGATTATTGAGCTCGCTGAGGTCTTGTGCGCGCATGGCAGCATTATTAAGTCATAAACTGCTTCGAGTGTTTAGGAAGAGGACGATAAGCGTTTAGTGCGAATCGTGTCTTTACACATGCTATTCACGTTTTAAAGTGCGGTTTAATGCATATAAATGCAGCCGTTGCTCCTGAAACGTGCATAATTCATTTCGTGCCTTTTATCAACCTTTCCACTTCTGTATCGTAATATATCTGCAAATTTCGCGATAATAATACTTTTCAACGACATGCTCGGCGCACACTCCGCGACTTCTGTTTCGAAATTTATATACGTGCGCGCACGCGCAGTATGCTTGACGTAAAAATGGTACTATAAATATAAGAGAAACGAATATCGCACGTTCACGATAAAATGTGCCGTGTAGGCATTAAATAAATTGCACGATTTCCACATTCCGCTTTTTCTCTCGCGCGCATGGCCCATCGAACACAGCCGTATCAAAATTTCCACGTTCGTGTAATTACGCTTACGCTTTAATCGCGTTTAATCGCCACGTGTTATCTTAAATTTAAATCTGCCATTTGTAAATGGTGCCTCGTGATGGAGTGTCGAAATTGGCGACAAAGTATTCGCGTGAATTAGTTTTCTCTATCCCGAGACACACACATAAAGTATCTAAAGAATAAAACTATAAAAGAATAGTATTTATTTGGTGGATAATACCTCAGAATTAAAAAAAATATTTATTCTCTTTCTGCAATGCAATTGGGAAAAGTTATTATTATATATTGTTTAGAGAATACGAAGAATCAAACTCTGAGACGATTGTAATAGTAAAGGAAAACAATTGTATAATTTTACCATATTATTTATGAATAAGTGGTTTATTAGATTTCATTATAATTCATCTTAATATATTTACTGATAATGTTTATTTATTCGTACATAAAATATTTTTTAAATGAAAGAAATATACGTTTTTTTTAAAACTTCAGCTTTTCTCATGAAAGCTATTGTTTATTTTGTCATTTAAGTCAAAGTATTTTCAGATTCAAGTAAATATGTTATTATTGTCCACCGGATAAATATCTTTTATTTATTTCTTAGATATATTCTCTCTTTCAGTGTACTTTTATTAATTTTTATACACAGACACGTACAAATATCCTGAAAACTTTAATCACCATTATGGGGACGAAATTTTTTATCGATTTTTCAGCATTTGTCGCGAATTTATGAGAGAGAGCTCCTTTAAAAGATAGGACGGTTGGGAGAAAATACTTTAGATATTTGATGATACAGAGTTGACCTAGAATGCCATTAGCTAAGATAATTAACGATTGAGAGAGACGAGAAGACGGCGCGCGGTAGTCGAGTGTTAGCGAGAACTAAATAGGCGAGTGGAAGTTGAGAGGCGAGCAGAAACGAGGTTAATCGAACATTCGGTACCCCCGAGGAATTAACTCGGATAATAGTAGGCTGATACCTAGGACTTGTTTCAATTTTAATCAAAAGAATCTCCGCGGATACGTGTGTCGTTGGCCTAAAAAGAACTAACCCCGCGAAATTAATCATCTGCACCGGCACACAATCGCTATCGCCGAATTCCCGCGCCCCAGCGCATATTCCCCCCGCGAACGTTAGTTAAACTCTAGATTCATCTACAATTAAATCACCTACATAAAATACGCGTTGCCGCCCGTCAGTATTCGCTCGTCACATGTCCGACAATTTGTCTAGCGCTTTCCCTCGTTTGCATTTAAAGAGGCGCTTCTCTTTAAATTCGTGCTTGAAGCGCTCGTGCATGCGCTCTCAATTACATCGACAAAGATAAGAAAATGTAACACGTGTAAACGTATTGCATGTTTTTCTTGCATTATTCGACGCCCACTGTATCATAATATCCAACATCGCAGTCGTGATGTTGGATATTATGATGTAGTGAGCGTCGAGTAATGCAAAAAAACGTAACGGTTCGCCGAGGCTCGCACGCCTCGTCTTCGGCGCGGCGCGGCGCGGCGCGCGGGATAACAACATAAACACACATACGTACACATACACAACACACACGCGTGCGTCTCAGCTAACGACAGATCAGTCGCAGACGCCAACGTGAACGCGTCGTTTCGCCCTGTCTCCTTTTCTTAAATTTGTCTCCTTCTAAATCGGTCCAATCGATTGTAAGACGTAAGGTGCTTCGCGCGTGCAATTAATATGCCGGGAACACACAAGAGCAGCAGCGATATCCAGTAATAGAAAGGGGTAATTACCACATCCCATTGTTATTAGGTTTCAAAGGGGAAACGTAAAGCCAAATCTCGCATTCTCGTTAGCTCGCCGATTACCATCGGGTATTCTCGATTCACCCTATCCGTAGGAAACGATTCTATTATCGTAACTAATTAGAAAAATTACTTTTTGATTCAGATCTGGGGCGAGAATTATTGATGACGGAGATTGGAACACATCGCAAGGGAGGTTGCAGTGAGTGGAGATGTGGATGGCGAACCGGAGGATCCGGTTCGGGCCGAGAGGGCTCGGCTCGAAGGTAAGCTCAAAGATTCGCCATGCTTTTTCCAACTCTTTATTGTCGAACATCGGGATGTAGAATCCAACACGACTCGTGTTTCGATCGCAAAGAATTAATCCTTGTTGATTTGTTGTACCGTATTGAAAGTTACTGAAATTCATCTTAAGTGAGACACTTAGAGTTTAAATTCAGAGTTAGATGAAAGTCTTCCAGTTGAATTGTAATTGCAAATACGGATGTCACGTGTATCATATAATTTAACTGCAAGACTAGAATTTAACTGTGACTAAAAATCTGAGTGTCTCACATGAGACTAGCTTGATTTGACAACTATTGATGCGGGCCCGAATCTTTGAGCATGACTAACGCAATTGTGTTCTCTTTTTGTTCCAGATCTTGTAGCAGAACGTTGCCGGCTCTAGCTTCTGTGTTGGTGAGTCATAAATTGAGACAAAAATGAAAAAAATAAGGTGGTGGGTTTTTAAATTAAATTTAATGGAGACAATGCGATATATTTTGATCATAGATTATTGCATGTGGGATTTTTTCTCTTGAAACATTGAGAGGTTCATGTTCTCAAATATCGCGTAATAAAAATGTTTGTAGTCCTGAATTTAATTCTATAACGCAATCGTGTTCTATTTAATTATTCTTATATTTGGTCCAAGTTGTATGATTATTTAGCAGAAACGTGACATGTTTATTGATGATCCTCTTATTGTTTCGATTAGTATATAATTATATGTTACACTCTTGATGCGACAATGTCGCATCCATTGATGCGCATTAGAATTGCGCTAATGTGAGCGAAATTTGCTATTATTTCGTTCAAATATTTCGCGAATTTTTCATATTTCTCACGCGTACGTGTGCGTCGCGAGTGGAGTTAATTTTTCGGTTTGTTCACGCACGATTACATTTATTACGAGAAGTTAAAGTCTGCTAAAGTTTATTAAATAAGCAATCGACTATTTTACTGTTATTTCACAACGCAATTGACTAATATCACAATCAAAAAAAGTTAAAGTTTATTGAGAAGTTTGCAAATAGAGCTAATTATATTATTAAGTATATTGTGCTCATGTACGAGATAATATATCTTACATGTGACGTCACGTTTCCATTGTTTATTTCGGCTTATGTTTACATTTGCGTCGCGACTCTTTTTGCTCGCATGTCACTTGTCTCTTCGAAACAAAACAATCTTCCGTTACGTTAAATTTCGTCGCATTATTAATTCCAAAATAAGTTTCGCGAATAATCGAAATGGACTTCACAAAAATATTGCGAAGTTGTCTTCGCAACAATATGCGGAGCTGTCTTCGCAATGCAATTCCTCCATAAAGGAATCTCGTATGACGTTGATTGTTTCACGCCACTATCGTGATCGCGTTTTGAATATTTTGAAACACCGGGAACTGCACCGCGGAAGTTATTCCTTCAGCATACTAGTATATTTCGATTTCGCTTGTTTCGTTGATAAAAATAGACTTCGCTTGAATATAAGTCGAAGCATTCCGTTGAAATTACGTTTGTTGCGCGCTATTAAGGCGTCATTTTTACATCAGTCGCGTCTGTTCGCGTCGCGTCGCGAGTGTAGCAAAGTACAAGCAACGTGGGACGACGAGGGAGGACCTTGATGGACCCGAACTAGACACGTGACTGGACATTGCCGATGGATTTCAACGCCGATTGGTGAGCGATAAATTCAACGCTTATTGAGCGTTATACTACGTAATGCATGAGTAGAAATCGCATTAATCTCCGACATTATGACATGATATTATTCGAGTCGAAATTCAGATTCTACTAAGGTTCGCAGGTGCAGTTGTGTGTGTGCCTCTAATATAACGTTCTTCGGGTCGCGCAATGTTCTGTGTAGAATTCGCCGAGGTCCTATTTCACTTGGATTTCGCCTTGTTATTGCACCGAATCGAAATTTAAATCTTTACTCGTGTTCTTGAGCACACAGCTGCTTCTTTACCTTGACAATTCCTTTTCGTTCTTTTAAAATTTCCAAACTTTACTGAAATTTTCAACCAAAAGAAAAGACATATCAAAATTATGAGGAGAAATGTCACTTAATATTTATCTATTTTTATCTTTTATGCTTTTCTATTTTCTCTACATTTGTGACTTTAACACGTTGATCGCCACGGAGATTACAAAAGACCGGCACTGTGATACTTTGCCGCGTTCCATTAATTTATTTATCCGTAAGACGTAATTAATTGCGTACAACAAATTATGTGCATAGCCGATAGAATGAATTAATAATATATTATGAATTTTATTTATTTAACGTATATGCATGCATATCGCGTTTGTTTGTTCAATCTTTCGTTAAACTTTGAAATTATCAATGGAAATCAGTATTGTGTGCGGTCAACCTGTTAACGTAGAAGCAAATTTCGACTCGGGTTATATTATAATGATGATGATGACGATGACGATGATAATTATATTCATGGCGATGATAATAATGACGAGATATTATGTTATTTTATTATGACTGATATATTGACGATTATGATTGATTGATTATGATTATGATATGATATTATGATTTGACATTATGATTGGACCTTACGATATGGTTGATTTTGATATTATGATATAATTATAAGATAATATTTTGAAATGATTTTATATCCGTATAATATGTACAGAATAATTACGTTATCTGCTCACTTAAGTCTGCGTATGTGGATTATCCGGATAATCCGGATCTTGATATTAAAAGTTGACGCGTATATATTTCCATATTTGCGGACACGGTGACTCGCGCGTTACACTTCTGCGCTATCTTGTCGCGTCGACGGGTTCAATTTACCAAATGCTAATAACTGAAAGCGTAACTTAAGCGCGACAGCCGGCGTTTTATGTCGAGTTGTTAGACCCGGGCGCGAAAAATAGAGAGGTTCGCAAAAACGGTTCCAAGTTAGTCGGAGAAGCGACAATGGCCCACCGTCATTCTGACGTGGTTTTGTTACCGTGATTGATGCATGAGGTCGGCTCACCTCGTAGAGGACTACTAGGTGAGAAAATCGTGCGTCTCGTGCGTCTTTCAGACCCTCGCGAGGAATAAGTCCCTTTATAAACGCCTAACCGACGATGCTCTAAAAGCATAGACTGACCTTGTTGCGTTTTTTATTCCTCTTTGTAGAATAATGCCGCGCGTAACGTTTTGAGAAGAAAAACGACGTGCATTATCGTGTTTAGTAGACTCTTCGCGCTCTCCTTCGCGCACGATACAGAGAAAGTGGGCAAGCAGGAGGAAGCAAGCCCGGGCGCGGCAGGGACATTAGCCGGCTCTGCATTTTGCGCAATATCATAAATCTTTTCGGTCGTTATTGCTTTCTTCCCATAATTCCGCTATCGCCGTCGCGAACTTCGCAATCGGCTTACAGCGAGAGCGTCGTGCGCGCCTCGCGGACGCCATTTCCATAAATATTCGATCGATCGTAATTATTAATAGGGGAAAACGTCCAACAGTCGGCTTTCCACCTGTTTTCGGCACTTTTGCACGGATATTACCAAATATATAAAAGCAGGGTGGACAGATAAAAGGAAACGAATTAACAAATCATGAATAATAATTGCTAGATAATTAATAAATAACGAATAAATCCCCAGTTGCCGAAAACTGGTGAGTGCTGCAACTCATTGAGAAAAATCTGTCGGTTATCAGAATAAAAGCTACCGTTTGCCGTTTGATGATCATTAAACAGGTCATGCAGTTACTGTAGCAAATTATTTCTCATCGTTTAACAAACATACTTTGTCTGAGATACAAATTATATTTGTTCTCTTCTATTTAGCTTAGTTATGACCCCATTACACAGAATTGTTGCTTAGAGCAGCAAATTGAAAGTGACAAATTATTTATTCCCACTACACTGAGAGAAAGAATATCTAATAAATGTTTACTCGGCGAACACTAATATAGCGTATATATTTGTACTAATATAAAATACTTTTCAAGTGAGAAAATATACATTTTTTAAGACCTCTCAAGGAAACCTTGGCTTTTTAGGAAAACAATCCTTTATTCTATTTAAATAAAAATTATTAAAAATTATTAAATTATTAGTTATTAAAAATTATTAAATTATTAGTTATTAAAAATTATTAAAAATTATTCTATTTAAATAAAAAAATTTAGACTTAAATAAATATGTCATTAGTACTCACACCAAAGAAATATTTACTATTTTTTAGAGATTCTTTCTTTCAGTCTCATATAGGATCATTCGCTATCCCATATCAACAAATCATCCGTTGCGGGTACTGGTATTTTATTAAATTGGCAAAACGGCCCGCGTGGTCGGCAATTTCTTTGATATATATTCCATATTCGACGACATGATCCGCATAAAGTAAGTGATCTGCAATCGCTAGCTTACCCGAGTCAAAATTTTTATCCCACTTTTGGTCTTACTATTCCATTCAACCACTTATTTTGATACTCTGAAACTTACGTCAACTTCTTTTGATTCTATCTAACCTACCCGAGCCGAAATTTTAATCCTACTTTCAGCTTCAGTATTCCATTCAACATCTATTTTGACGTTAAAGAAAGTGAAAAGGAAAATTTCGGACATCATCAAAGCAAGGGTAAATTGTATCATTAGAATTAAACCTACTATGCGTGATAGAATTCAAGGTTTAATATAGAGTCAAAATTTCGACTTGGATGTATGCTCCTTGCAACAACGCGCTCTTTCCGGCAGATCCTGGGACGATTACCATCTTTTGGGCACAAAACCAATTTGTCGCCGACGAGGAGCCGGCCCGTATCTCCGACGCCGATGGAAGTTTGCTCGTTAAACAGCGAACAAATTGCCTCGCGTTCGCGCGCGATTTAGTTGACGCGGCGATGATATGACACGTGTACGCGCGCCCGCGCGTTCTTGAGTGATATTTTCAGCACGCTCAAGTTTTCAATCGACGCCACGGCGCCGAAGGAGTTTCCCAATCGCCGGCAATTTGCACGAATAATTCGTCGAGTTGCAATGCGCAGCTCTTCGCGACATTTCACGATGTCTCTCGGCGAATGCCGGACGCGTATTCATCCCGCGACAAGTTCTCGCGACGCGACAGGCTGGCGTACGGGGAGATCGCGGCCGAATTTTGATCCGCGGGGGATATTTGCGACCGAGGAATTACGTCTTTCACTCGTCCACGAAGACTTGCCTTATATATATATATATATATATATATATATATATATATATATATATATAAATAATATATAGCTGCCGTTTTCCCCCTTACCGCGAATTTAAATGGAGAATTATGCTCTTGTCAGCTCTATCTTCCTTCCATCTAAATTCTATCCTTTCATATCGGCGGGAGATTAAGCAGAGAAAGATTATAGCCGTCTCGAATTGCGGGTTGTCCGCGGCGATGAAGGCGAGCTGTGTTACTCGT